CTTTTTCTAATACCTGTTTTAAATAAATCTTATTAGTAGGATTAAACTGGGTGTATGTTCACCTCGCACCTCTCACCCTAAATAAATTATCCCTACATATATATATATACAAGTTTCACAATAAAATTTAGCAGATTTTGCTGGTTCAGAAAGAGCAGGTCAAGCAGTTACTATTGGAGAACGTTTTAAAGAAGGTCGACTTATCAATTTGTCTCTTTCTGCATTCGGATTCGTAATAAAGTAATTAAGTGAATCCCAAGACACACAAAAATATGTTAACTTTCGAGATAGCAAATTAACGAGATTGCTACAAAATTCAATTGGTGGAAATGCTAAGACAGCAATAATATGCACTATAACACCTGCTGCATTAAAAGAATCACAATATACGTTATCGTTAGTATATTACCTATAGAATATATTTTATATTATTTATTATAAAAAATGATTTTTTCAAAATAAAATGAAAAATTATTATCAATATATAATTTTTTGTTTACATATACATAGATTTGCGTCGCGTGCCAAGAGGATAGAAAATAAACCACAGGTTAATGAAGTTATGTCTGATGCGACACTTTTAAAATGTTATGTCAAACAAATATCCAAACTCAATTGTGAACTAGAGGTTTATATCTATTGAAAAGACTAAAAAATAGTTTTAAAATAATAATAGAGATTCTTAATTATAGTAATAATACTTGATATAAAAATATGTTTGAATATTCTTGTTTTTTTGTTCTTCTTTTAATAGAAAATTAAAAAAGAAAAAACTGAAGAAATGGAAAACAGATTGCATGAGAAAGATCGTATTAATCAACTTTTGGAAGAACGAATTGAATTATTAACAAGCAAAATTGTATCTAGGAATAATGCAAATAACGAAGACTCGTTTGGATGTAAATCTAAAAGAAGACGAACTTGGGCAGGACCAACATGTAAACAAAATGTTTAATTTTGTTCAAATTTTCAACCGTGTCAAGGTATGCTTAAGATCAAAGAAATGTCACCGGTAAAACCTTGTAGAAAAAGTATTATTCAAAGTGTTGATTTAATGGATTATCAAAGTAAGTAACTTTATCATTTTTATACATGTATTCATGTTTTTTTTATTATTTTTTAATTTATATTAATTTTATCAATTTTAGCATTTCAAATAGCTTTTACGGATTTTGAATTAGAATTAATTAATGATGAAAAGGATAGAGAAGATGATGATTCCATCGATAGCTTCAAAGAAATGTATATTAGAAAAAATAGACATCAACATCGTGTAACATTCAAGGACGATCTAAGCATTTATAAACCTAATATATAATATTTATGAGAGTACACGTATAAAGAAAGATACACCTATAAAGAGATATACACCATCTCAGCTAAAGTAATAACACAAATTATTATTAATTATTATACTATTATCAATAAACAATTAATAATATATTATTATTATTATTTTTAGCGATATTCAAGAAGATCAATCTCTTRCACCGAAAAAAGTTTTACCTGAAAGACTATCATATCTACAACAAGAATGTGATAAACTTTGTGAATTTACAACATTACAAAAACAATTGTATATTGAGAATCATCAATGTAATTCCGTTGTAAGTAGAATTTCCTTAAAACTTTTATTTTATTATTTTGTTTACATTAAATATACAAATTTCTCTATTATAGGATGAAAAACAAGTCGAGATAGATAGGGGAAAATTCAGATTTGCAAAAAGAAATAATTAATGTTACTAGAGAAAATAATTTATAAAAAAATATATTATTAGAAGTATTAAAATATGCCACAAGTCCTATCAATATAGATGCAGAAAGCATAGAAATGGATTTATTGGATGACACATCACAAATTCCAAATGAAACAATTTTGGATATACCTTTTAAAGATATTGAAGTTAAACACGTAATTAATAAGTTGCAAAATAAAATAATGACAAGTATAAAACAACATCAGATAAAAAATTTGGAAAAAATTTCTTAAATCTACTAATAATACCTCATCATCATAACCTCTTATTACAAAAATCATTGCTCATAACATTTAGTCATTATATAAAAATAGTCATTTACAATAATACTTTCATATATACACATATAATGACTTTGCAAAAAGCAATAATAATTTCTATTATTTATAAAATATTTAAAATATGTCTCCGCAAAAAGTAGATAAAATTTTACATTATTTAACAATAACGTTCTTTTTTAAAAACTTTCAGTTCGTTTAATTAAATGAATACCTTGGCGTGGTACATGATATATCCTCAGAATCAATGTTCGTTTTTGCAGGTAAATCTTCAATATTTTGAAGTTTCATTAATTTCTTTTCAAGTTCTTTTATTTTCTTACACCGTGAACGACACAATTGTTTCATGAAAGATTTTTCTTTTTCTAATTTTTCTATTTGTACGTGTTTCTAAATAAAACATAATTTTATATATATTTATTTGATTTTATTGTTATAGAAAAATTATGACTAAAAAATAAAACCAAAATATTCATCGTATTTATAAAAAATGAATGCTTACCTCAACAATACCGCTACTAGTTCTACAAAATTGTATTTTACTGATTGGTATAGTTTGAACGTATTGACTTTTTTTATTAATAAATTGATTTTTACTCTTGTAACATTCTTTCATATTAATTTCACACATAGCATGTCTAAGTTTCTTTATTTCACTTTTGAGTTGAATGTTTTGTCAAAGAAAAATCAATAAACAAAAATATAAGTATTTCAAATCAATTAAAAAATTTCGGAAATAATGTTGTCGATAAAAAAGTATCATATACCTTATTTTTAAATGCCAAAAAATTTTCTTCCAAGTCTACACTTTTCCTGATATGGAAAACTTCCTTCTTGTATTTGTAATTGTAACGTAGCAATCCTTCCATTTTTAGGTACCAATTCGACTTCTAACTCTTTTATTTGTTTCTTCAAATTTGCAAGTTTATCATTATTGTTATCTTCGTTACATTTCAACTGATCTTTTGATAGAAGTATTCCACAATTACTACATTTTGTAAGTTTGTCTTGTAACTTTTAATTTTCTTTCTTTAAAGTATCTATTTCAGTCTATTTAACTTTTTAGGATTATCATCACCAAAATACGAATATACCTTTTCCGTCAAAAAATCGTTTTCTTTTATTAATACCTCTATTTCTTCATTTAAGTCTTCATTATTTTTTTTCAATGTTTTGTTTTCTTCCTCTAATTGTTGATTTTTACCTTTCAATTCGTCACATTGATCATCATTTATATATTTTAAATCTTTCTCTTTATCCAACAATATTTCTTTTATCATTTTTTTATTTTTTTCGAGCAAAGATTCATATCGTTCCTTTGTACTTAAATATTCTTCCAACAAATGTTTTTTCTTATCCTTCAATTCTGCTATACAATTGTAAGCTCCATCTAAATTATTTTGTAAAGCTTTGTTCTGTTCGAGTAATACTTCCATATCCGTTTCTAATTTAATTCTACTATTACTGTTTCGAAGTTTTTGTTCCAATTTCATATTTTTTTCTTCTAATTGAGTATATTGTTCTTTCAATGAATCCAATTCTGTAAGTAAAATAACATCTTGATTTTTCCATTCTGTAAATTGTTTATTTAATTCTTCATATTTCATTATTTTTAAATTTAATGTTTCCTTCAAATTTTCCAAATGTGTTTCACTGTTTATTTTTAAACTTTCCAATTCTGATTTATATTTGTGTACATTTAATTTTTCTTCCTCAAGTTGTTTCTTTAAAATATCATATTCCGGTGTAATACTGTCTAACTTTATTTTATATTCGTACAACATGTCAGATTTGTTTGGTAACAAATTGGTAACTTCTAAAATGTGTGCATCTTTATTTTCAATTTCACAAGTAAGTTTGTTACAAGTTTTCGTTAAATGTTCCATCTCAGTATTCATTTTTTCTATATATTTATTATTCTCCGTCAATTCATCCATTTTTTTATTGATCATAATATTTACATTTGTTTCATTTATCTTCATACCTTTTAATTTCTCAATCAATTCCATATTTTCTCTTTTATACGATTCTACTAATTCAACTAGATCTTTTATTTCGATAGAAAGTTTAGCAATAGATGTATCTTTATTTTCCATTTCACGTTTTAATTCATTATTAATATTTGTAAGTTGTTCAATATCATTTTTTATTTTTTCAGAATTTTTATTACACTCATCTAATTCATCTGTTCTCATATTAAGAATATTCTTTAAATCTTTTTCATTATTTTCAAGACTTTCTAAATTTTTGATTTTATACTTTTTCAAACTTGATATCAAATTATCTATTTTGTCTTCATATTCTTCTCTGATTCGTATCGTTTCTATTTCTTCTTTTTTATTTATATCAATTTCCCTTTGTTGTATTTTTATTGCAGACTTTTTATTAAATTCTTCTTGCATATTATTATAAATCATTTGAAGTGATTGAATTTTGTTCATAAGTATCTCTTTTTCATTGTTATTTTCTTTCAATGTATGTTCCATAAGTGAAATTTTACTTAGTAATTCAGAATGTTTCATTTCTTGTGTTTTAATATCATCTTTTAAATTTTCTACTTCCAATTCTAGTTCTTCTGCCTTAAATCAAAGACATTTCTCTGCTTTTATACTTTGTTGTCTTTCATTCTCATATTTTTCTTTATCGATAGACAATTGTTCCTGTATGACATTAATTACTTCCTGTTCCTTTGAAGTAACTATTTCCAAGAATATAAGTAAAAGATTGTTTATAGATTTATCAAAGTAATTTTGACTATCTTCAATAGGTTTTAAACATTTCGTTTCATTAATAATGCAAGCTTTCGCAGAATTTAAATCATCCTTAAGTTTGTCAATTTCATTACTCGATGTATTATCTATTTCATACTTATCTTCATAAATTTGACAACTTATGTCAATGCTTTCTTCTATATTTTCCAATTTTTTTCTAAGCTATCATTTTTCTCTTTTTATTCATCGATTATTCTGTTCAAATCATTTACAATGTCTTCTTTCACTTGTATACTTACTTTCATATTTTCTATTTCTTGTTTCAAATTAGATTTTTCATTTTCTGCTTGTTCTTGTCCCATTTTATAATTTTCTATTTGGAAATTTTCAATGTCTGATTCGAAAATTTTTTCTAAATTTCTTATCTGATGTTGTTTTATACTTGTCATTATTTTATTTTGCAACTTATTAATTACATGTTTAACTTCAATATTTTTAAAAGGTATATCCAAAATTATTGTTTCATTTAGAATTTGTGATGTGTCATCCAATAAACCCATTTCTATGCTTTCTGCACTTATATTGATAGGACTTGTGGCATATTTTAATACTTCTAATAATATATTTTTTTATAAATTATTTTCTCTAGTAACATTAATTATTTCTTTTTGCA